AGTTTGAGAACATTGAAGTGAGTCGCGCCGTAAGATTTTGGAATGGCCTTTCCTGTTATTTTCCCTTCATCCTACAACCTCGGATCTTTCAAACGTGGCATGAAAAAGCACTTAGTGATCCGGAATAGTGCAGCCAACCGGTAAGGGATGAACATCCTCTTTTCGGATGATCGCACCCGTATACCATATTTTATCTGTATTGACTTAAGAAGGTGTGATCATATATAAAAAAGCTAGTTTTTTTTTTCAAAATAAATACACGAGTATTACTGTACTCGTCATTACTTGTATTTAAACTATAAGATTAACCCTTGAAAGCCTGATTTTTTAAATCAAATTAAAAAATATATAAGGGTACATTTATACTTTTACTGTGTTTACTAATGAGGAAAAATAGTAAAAAAAAATAAAAAAATATTTTTATATATTTATTTAAAAAAAAAAAGCATTTGGTAACATGTAAACAGCCAAATATTAAATAAAATCAATTGTAGGTGCCCAATGCGATTTATAATCCCAGTATCAAATTTGAAACTTCAGGTATTTAAGGGTTAAACTATATTATGAGATATTCTTTATAAGGAATGAAATTTGTAGTTAGTAAAATAGTCAAAAGCTACATATTATATTTATAATACCTTTCAAGAATTTATCATTGGCTCTCTGCCTATCTAGCGTACTAAATAGTTAGAGAGCCAATACAATGACGGGGCTGGATCTGAAGTCCTAACTTAATGGTCTACAGGATAATAGCATTCATGGAACAATTGCCATCGGCTTAGTGCCTATAGAAACGTGCTTTCAATTATAAAATAAATATGCACCAGACTTGAACGTTTTGAAATTCAATAGACATTAAACCACTTATATGTCAACGACCTTTTTTAAAATATGGTGTTTGTTTGTATAAGATTTATTGTATCATTATCATCATATCAGCCTTTAACTGTCCACTGCTGAATATACACCTCCCCCTTGATGGGCTTTGCCTATAGTTGCCATGCTTGGCAGATGGATTGACAATGGCTTTAGAGATATTTTAAGAGGGACGGTGCTGCCCATCCCTCATCCTCTCTTAGTCGCCTCTTATGATACCCACGGCAGTTTTTTTTATACAACTTAGAATGCCAAACAAGCTGACGGCCCACCGGATGAAAAGTGGTAACCGTCGCCTATAGACTTGAGCAGTACCATGGACATAACAGAGTATACTGTTTCACCTATGATACCCCCTATGCGTTGTCATTCCTGAGGACTCAGGTGTTATTCCTCTGTACCCAGTAAATTCACGCCATATTCCTCCCTTCAAACCGAAACACAGCCATGTAAACATAACTGCTTCACGGTTGAAACACGAATGGGACAGAGGTACCCAAGCAATCAATTTTTGTACAAAGTCTCCCTCTGGTAGAGAGGTGCAAGGTGAGGTTTTATTGTATATTTACATTTAATATTGATATCAGCTTGTGATTAATACTGCCAAGGAGGAAACTGAGTACATAACAAAAACATAGAAAGCGTGTATAAATGCACACACTAACAGTTTAACCACAGCTCTAATTTAACTATCAGAAATAAAAAGACCTAGATCTCATCATACTTGAGACTTCACTTGATTACGAAGTAATAAAAAAGGAAGATGTAAGGATAAAGTAACGAAGCAGTTTCTTCACTGGGGAAACAGATCTCACCCGCTAACTTCCCATTCAAACAAACTACTTATAGTTTTTAACCGCTTGCAAGCTGAAAAAGAAATCAGGTTGTAAAGAAAAAGGCAAGGTACATAAGTTGACCTGTGACTTGAACTTGAATTTGACTTGTCTGCCTTCTTTTTCCAGTCAATCTTGGGAACTGGAAAGATGAAAGTATCTCTAGGGTTTGTGTATAAAGCGTAACAGTAATGATGCAAAAATAATATAATAAACAATAGAATATTATTAATAGTTATATAATTAGTACATTATTTGTAGTTTAGTTTGACAAATAACAAAGAAAAGATCTTGAAGTCTACTGTGTGATCCTGGCATAGAATGAGACACCCCTTCCGTTCCTGTAGGTGTTGTAAGTGGTGACTAAGGGAATTTAATCGTAAAGGGTTGAGCAATAGCGTACTTCCTAAAACATCGCCAAAAGACTAACTGCTGTTAACTCGCGTGCCAAGCATAGCACTGGCAATATCCTCGCATCTTACGACATCCACGGGAAAAGAAGGCGTGACTCATTCAATGCAAGGACTAAACTGTGATCAGTAACATAAAAGCGCTCAAAATATTAAAGCACATTTTAAGTTTTTCTGTTCCTTGGATAGTTTACGTTTGAAGGGTGAGATGTAGCAAACATATAGCAGAAGTCAGCGAATAATATCGCGCGATTGAGACTACAGGCATAGATATACCTTTCAGCTTAAGAATGATCCTAAACTTGTATACCAACTTTGTGGTTTAAATATAGAAATTCCCTGAAACTCATCAGGTAGATGGAACAACATTAAAGCACTCAAACTTTGAACTGTGGATATACTCGTGCCTCTAAAACAGGTTCTGTAACATCTAAACAAAAAGAGGACGTCAGGATCAGAGCACTCAACTTTTAAATAAACGAGGCACTTTTATATGACAAAGGTCGAACAGCTGCGAGATGGATGGACCTGAACAAAAGCTGAACTAATTGTAAAACCAAATATCTACAGACTGTCATCGGGACGGGCTTCCGATAATGAGTTTAAAATTATTGTGGAACGTGAAATTTGGTTTTAATTTTTAAATGTTATATTACCTTTTATCCCCAAATGCCTATGTCCAGCAGTGGACGGATAATGGTTGAAATAATTATGATAATATGTTTTTCTACAACTGAGTCTTTTTAAATACTGGGTCCATTTTTAATGTCCAGTATCAAGGTAAAAAATATTTTTAATAATTAAACGATATTTAGTTAACCTAATAAAGGTACTTGTTAAAACTAATATTATAATAGTTATAATTATAATACTAAACTAAAAATAAATTTTTGGTCGATTTTAAAAAATCTTTCATTTGTAAAAAGCTACGTCGTCAACCAGTAACATGGCTTTTTTTAATATGATAAAACCTACAACACACACTACAATAGTACTAATTCAATTTTGGTTAAACCTGTTATTTTGATATCAAAACTGAACCTGATTTCCATAATGTTTCTATGACAGCAATCTGTAAGTATATCCATTGAGATAATAAAAAAAAATTGGAATCAATTTATAAATGATATAATTATGAGGCAACAAACATCAATTGAAAAAAAATCAACCGAATTAGAAACCTTCTTTTTGAAGTAATTTATAAAACCGTGCGATACCGAGATGGATCGCTAGTGTTATATAACGATATTGGGCGTCTAATATAGACTTTGACAGTTAAAATGTAGCTGTAGGCTGTCTGCTCTTTTGGAATAATACAGAAGAGATTATTTTGACTGTTCAGTACTAAAGCTCTTACTTGAAACCAAGTCGCTTTTGACGTTCATATGAAATAACAAATGCTTTTTGAAGATTTAGTTACAAATATAGTTTATTTTATTGCCCTAAACAACAAACTAAGAGTTGCTCTTTAAAAAAAAACAGTAGCTTATAATACGACGAAAATAATAACACGAAAATATGAATATATGTAAGTGACATCATTATCATTCCTTGCGATGTTAATGATGCTATGATATGCTATAATGATGTTGATTGTGGATCTGTTTGGGTGGGTGAGTTGTCAGTAGTAAAGATTAATGATCCCATTACTAGTAATGTACTTTAACAGGTCGCCTTCCAAGCCATCAACTTTGAGAACTATTGTGGTTAATTCTTTTTAAATTCCTCACGATGTGCCAGCTGATCTGACTTTATTCTCATCTATCAGTACTCATGGGTGCCACTCTAAAAGGTTACCATTTTCATCCAAAAAAAATCGTATCTACCTGTGTATTTGATCAACAAAGGTCGACTTTCACATCATTTCCTCTGAAAAGAATTATGATTCATGTTAGTTGACAACAATAACATTTGCTATGTTTGTAATAGCAACTTGTACTTTTGCAATACATATTGATAGTGAGAAGAAAGGCATTATTAGTAATGAGGTCTAATAGCCTCATTGCTAGCAGTACACCCTGTAAGATCGACCTCCATGGGGCACCGCATGGAGGGCGACCTGGAAAAATCTTGGGTATTTCTAGTCGAATTCATCATGGTAGGCCAATTGACCTGCATTCATTCTCATCTATCATCTTCCACTAGTGACTCACTTAGTATATACCAATAGCACGGATGGATTAACTATTTTATTTCACTTATTAAAAAAAATATGTCGATAGTAGCAAGTTTGGATTTTGTAATTTATTCTTTCAACGTCTAATTTAATAGAACTTTCTGAATGCATGAAGAATCAAATGTCGATGACAATATAAATTTCAAAAAGCTATTCTAAAAATCTACGTCGAGCTCCAAAAAAATCCGACTCGAAGGACCATGTAGAAAATTATTGGAATGGACTGTAATTTCATGGGTATGGTCGCTTAGATGGATCTGAAAAAATAAATTACGGAAATACAAACTTATTACTATCAACGTTTATTGTGAGAGAGACAGAGTACAAAAATGTTGCTATTACAAAAATACCAAACCTAGTGTTGCCAGTCTTTGACAGTTGACAATCTTTATCTTTACTTATCATTACTCACTAGATCGCCAGCTTCACCGTTAATACAGCTGGATTTACCATTTAATTTTTGTCTAAAAAATAACATGGACCTAAGCAGTTGACCGACGAATCTTTATCATCAGCGGACCAAAAAAATATCGCTATCTTCACGAATAACTCCGATTCGCGGACGAAAAAAAAAAGAAATACCAGTCATAAACCAAAACTTTATGTTAACCGCACCCGTTGATATTCCAATTCGTGCAAAATGTTTCGCTAAAGTTTCCTTGCTATTACAAGATTAACTTTCCAGCATTCATCGGAGTTTGCGCGGTTGGGCTTCTGTCGTGGCTCAGTTCTGGCCTGTCTCGCGTTTGAACGATACGCGGCAAGGTGCTGGGCGCCGACTCGTCTCACAAATTACGTACCGACACTGTGTGTGCACCATTTACTATGTAATTAGTTGTTCAGTGTACTAATAGTGTGTGATTGTCTGTGTTGTGTAATATGTACAGTTCTAGACGCCGGGACAAGCGATGACCTACGAATTTTGCAGGTTAGTTTATTAAACACGATCCGGAGTTATTATTTTTATTGTGCTACTCAAAAATTATTATTGTCGGTAATTTTTTTTTTTGCAATTTAAATAAGATTAATGAGATAATATTAGTAACAAAAAATATAATATTTTAATATAATAATTAAGTTTAAATCAGTTCGACTAAATACCATATTTATTGAAATGTTAGTGTCGATGACAAATTAATGCAAATTGCAAACTTATACTTGCCTTATTTTTTTTTTGTTCTAGAATTATTCTAGAATATCAGAAAATATTTTTTTTTGTTAGTTATAAAAGCAGTATATTTCAATATTTGATAATAATGAATATTATGACAAATTTTAATTAAACCTATAATTTTAATTAAACAAACAAATAAAAAAATATGACAAATTTGCAATAGAAATGACATAGTTAATTGAAACTGGACTTGTAATTTTGTAAATTATGAATAAATGATCTGTATAATTTATATTATTTATACTTTGTGATGAAAAATCCAAAAGTATGATAGAATAATTCAAATAAATGTAAGATTTAATGGAATGTATTATGAATAAATATCTATTTTATTTTAATATTTTAAAGATTACTAGACTAGATTATTGCAAATTATTTCTTAATAAATACGTCTGCACGAATATAATTTTGCAAAATTTATGTAGATATTTGGTATAATAATAATAATAAAGTTAAGACATAAAATTAAGTAACTACTACAATACGAGTGTAACCAGATTTACATAATTTTATCAAATTGGTCCTCATTAAATAAAAGAGTAATTGAGAAAGTCGTGAACGACAAAATTGTAATTGTTTTATCGTTTTATCGGTAAAATGCCACTCAACTGTCCACTTACCAATTGGACCAGAATAAGATAAAATTAGCATTGATTCTATTATTGGCATATCAAACAGCCAGATTCTAAAACATATTTTAGTACTAAGTAATGTATAAAGTAACTTTACATAAGTAACTTAAGTAGGTACTTATTACATTATATCTTTTTAATGGATGATAATGTAATGGTAACCCCGCTTGTACTATCGGTATCAACTGGCACCAGCGAGGGATGATAGGTGAGGACGAACTCAGGTTAGTTGACCCATCGCGACCAATTCGATAGTTTCCAGAGCGAACTGCTTGGAGGTCGACCTGATAAAGCATATTGCTATTAATGGATTAACGTCCTCAATACTATCATATATACTTGAACAACAATTAATCCATTACCCTAAGGTTGTCTTAAAAAGTTTGCTCTCAGCAATAAGACCGCCTTACTGTACTTATACAACTGTATCGTTGTGTTTGTTAATTGTCTTGCTTATTCCTTGTATTGTATAATGCAAATAAAGTTTCATTCATTCATACTAACAATCCGTCTCCACCCTTTTACATTACATCTGCTACACAATTACACCAATCGCATTGTCCTCTAGTTAAGATACCATGTGTTTAGAAGAATCAAGCAACAAATATCTTGGGAGATCCAAGTCTTGCAATATCCAAGTCTATTTAGAAAAGTTCCTTTTCTAAATTGGCCCGACTGATTTGTGAACCCGAGACTTCTGTACTCAAAATGCCTACCACTGCGCTACAAATACCGTCGAACATATAAATAATAGAAGATGGTACTTTCGACATTTCTGGTATTCCAAATCGACTTTTTCCTGGCAGCTTTACATATTATATTATTTAAGCCCATTATAGTATATCGTTGCACATAGGCTTCCCACATAGACTGTCGTAAGGAACGATTCTAAGTTACCCACTTATCAGTACCTATCGAATTATTGCAAAAAAAAAAGTTGATGTTCTTCATTTCCATGTACGTTCACTTATTTTAACATTTATTATATAAGTAGATAGGTATTATATTTATTTATAGTATATGTATTTATGTAATTATTAATTTTTAAATTTTACCAAAATTCTCATCTCCCCTCTTAAGGAGAGGAGATGGCAACTAACCCCCGGCAGAAGCACAGTCGGCCGGGGTTCAGGGCCCCAGGGAGAGAAACCGGCGTACAATGCGGGCAGAATCTAAGAGCACCGCTTTCTGCATCTTTGAGTGTGTCTTTCTGCATCCCGGGAGTGAGCCGCCTCGGAATCCCAACCGTCTGAGATGTTGTTCCAGACTGGTTGGGATAAGACCGTTCACCGACATAACGATTGGGATGATTTCGGTAGATGTCACCCCCCACATTTCGGTCACCTCGTGAGCCAGGTCGAGATATTTTCTCTTCTTCTCGGTTTCGGCTTTCACGAGGTTCTCGTCATGCGGTATGGTGACATCCACCAAAAACACCCTCGAAAGTGCCCGGTCCATCACCACGATATCAGGTTTGTTCGCAAGAACAGTCCTGTCCGTGATGATGGACCGGTCCCAGTAGAGCCTGACGCTGTCGCTTTCGAGGACCGGCTGTGGCTGGTACTTATAGTACGGCAACCTCTCATTCGCGAGGCCGTACTTCAGAGCTCTTGATGGAGTATTTTGGCTACCTGGTTGTGCCTGTGCAAGTACTCTGTGTTGGCAAGAGCTGAACAACCCGAAAGCACATGTCTGAGTGACTCTCCGGGATGGCGACATGCTCGACAGATGTCCTCAGTGCCATCCTTCAGAATGTGCTTTCGGTAATTGTTCGTCTTAACTAATTATTAATATTATTAATATTTTTTTTATATAACATAGAATGGCAAACAAGCTGACGGCCCACCTGATGTAAAGTGGTAACCGTCGCCTATAGACATGAGCAGTATTATGGACATAACAATACACACACATACTGTTTCGCCCATGATACCCCCCATGCGTTGCCATTCCTGAGGACTCAGGTGTTATTTCTCTGTACCCTGTAAATTCACGCCATATCCCACCCTTCAAACCGAAACACAGCTATGCAAACACAACTGCTTCACGGTTGAAATACGAATGGAACAGAGGTACCCAAGCAATCGACTTTTGTACAAAGTCTCCTTCATATATAAATATATATTTGTTTATGTATTGATTAGTGTTAATAATACATAATTTGTATTCTGAATATTGATAGTATATTAATAGCACTTTAACCGCTCGCTAACGATATGATTTCTAACTACATATATTGGGTTGACTGGAAGAGATCTCTGTCAGAGATAAGTCCACCCTTGCTCACAACATTTATAAATGCATTAACAAAGTAATTTACATGTGCAATAAAGAATATATTATTTTCAAATTCATTAATATAAAGCGAGAGAAAAATATGAAAAATTGAATGGCCAATGTTCTTATTTTTAAAACATATGTTTATTTTTTAAACCATTTATACGAGTATATGTATATATATATATATATATATATATATATATACATATAATAGAAAGATAGTAATCCCATCAAATTTCCGTTATCCAGTTAATATATATATAAATAGCAGATCTCTTCATGAATAATGGAGTTAACATTTTAACTGGTTTCGTTTCAGGTTTGATAGGTTTAATTAAATTATTTTAAATAAAAAATGGAATGCATTAAAGAACTGTATTGCGTAGATGAATAAATATTAATGGAATATTGGTATGTCGTCTATTTCAGACCAAATTAAATTGAGTAGGAGACAAATTAAATTGAAATTGTATTGTATGTAAATTGTTTAGGTCCATCTAGTGTTTTTTTTTTTTTGATGGGTGAAAATGGAATGGTGACCCCGCCTGCACTAACGGTATACGCTGGCGGAGCACCAGTGACGGGTGATCGATGAGAATGAAAACAGGCCAGTTAGCCCACCATGACGAATTCATCAGGAATTAACCATTATAGTTTCCAAGGGGAACCGCGAGGAGGTCGACCTGACGGGGTATATTGCTAGCAATGGGATTCTCAGTCTCCATTACTAACAATCCCTTTCCCCCGGTCCTTGTAGTGTATGACAGGATAATTATATCAGGACAAGATAAACACACATATACTTTATATGTATATACGCATATTTTACTGTATGGTCCCGGCATAGAATAGGCCACCCCTTCCTTTCCCGTGGGTGTCGTAAGAGGCGACTAAGGGATGGCGACGGATGGGCAGCAGCGTTTCTCGTAAAATATCTCCAAGCGGCAAAACTAATTATTTTGATTTAAAAACTCAACTACTGAACTGATTTTGATAAAATCTCCACGCAACTAATTTCTAAGTATTATTTCGGAAATAAAAAAAGTTTTTTTTTTAAATCGGTTTACAACTCAGCACAGAGTTTCGAGGTAACAAACATAAAATAATACAACCGAACTGAAAATCTTTTTAAAGACAATTGAAAAAAGGTTGACTACTCAAGTTGCCAGTAATATTATACATACATACATATCTGTCACGCCTGTCTCCCATTAGGGTAGGCAGAAACAATGGAACGCCAAATGCTTCGATTCAAACAAACCTCTTTCGCTTCTTCCACATTCATCAATCTTTTCATACACGCTCGCCGGTTACGGGTACTTTTTAATTTGGCCCTTCTTTAGCATGTCGCTTATTTGGTCAACATACGTCCGTCTAAAGCGGCCCCTACCGACATCTCCATTCATTCTTGCTCGATAAATATTATATGTATTTAATATTCAGTTTTTCAAAAAAAGTTATTACAATTCCTATTTCGAAAATTTTACTCTTCTTTTAGGTACTAGTTTGAGATATAGGGCCCGAGAGAAAGTTTAATTTAATCTAAGTGAATAGGTATCATAAAACAATGTCTAAAAACCAATCCAACCAACAAAATTTCCGCTGAATTCGTTAATGTTAAATAATGTATCAAACAACATAATTCCCCGATGTAAAATAAAACAGGATAACTTCAATCTATTTTAATATTCGCCCATTTCAATCTCATGGGGAAACAAGGGTGTTTATCTATATCCATAGTTATTATATTTTCTATATATATTATAAATGTATATAGGCATTGGATAAAAAAATAACATAAGATTTAAAAATAATAGGTATATAAACTATATTTTTGTTTAT